CATTTCTTAACCTCTTATAACTGTAATACATTGGTTCTTTTTGATATATTTTATAAATATAAATGATGTGCTTTTTAATACTTCCCTTAATTGTTAACATTAAAACTCTTCTATATTCGATGATAAAGCACATCATTTGTATAGCTTAGATGGGTAAACTAGATGATATTATGTGATATTGATCTAGGAAGACCACATGTCTGAATGATTTTTAAACATTTTTCTAACCACACGTAATTAATGTAATTTACTCTGGTTGAATCTTGATTTTGATTGTTTTGAATTTGTATATGGGGACTTCTTGTGGCACATATTGGAACAGAAAGAGCAGAAATCTCTCCACTTTACATTATTAGAGATAAAGGAAGGGTTTTTGTATCTAAAGCAAGTAACAAAAGGCATGCTCTAAAAATTATTATAGCTCTGGTGTCAAGGACATTTAGTTGTCTTTAATTATAAAGCTAAATACTCTACCCAAACAGATATTAACTACATTACTATTTGGTAAAAAGAATGAAAATGTATACTCATAAGTAGAGACAAAGGAGTGAATATACATAGAATACTTTTTTTAATAAAAAATAAATAACCACCAAAATAAATAACAAGCCTGGTGCAAAAACAAATAGGGGTGATAGTTATTGTCCATTGATGGGACTGCGGGAACAGACGGGGGACTGCAGGAACAGACGGGGGACTGCAGAACAGACGGGGGACTGCAGGAACAGCGAGGGACTGCAGGAACAGACGGGGGACTGCAGGAACAGCGAGGGACTGCAGGAACAGCAAGGGACTGCAGGAACAGACGGGGACTGCAGGAACAGGAACTCACTCAGGCTTCAAACGTTCATATTTACATAACATATGTATGGTGACAGCTATGTCCATCATGAGCCCAGGGAGCTGCAAAGAGTGGGTGGTTGGTTGGGGGGGGGGGGGGGGGGACACAGTGTCATGGCTACAGAAGCGGATGTTTAACAAAAGTATAAAGAAACTCAACATTAGCCATGGCAGTGGGCTATGAATTTGGCATCTAAAAAAAGGTCCTAAAGGCCACTTTCAAATTCCAGTGGAGTTTCACTGTATTTGGAAGTGGTCTTTAAGGCAATGAGCAAAATTACTTAAAAATATATCATTTCCCCTAGATGTGAAATGAACTCCATCTTTCAAAAATAGCCCAGGACTGTCATGTCTAATTTGAGGGTGCTCAATCATTGCACCGCTTATGGATCCAACAAATGTAGCCATAACACTGTTGACAAACCTACGAGATTTGTCGATCTTCCCCGGATGGATGCCATGCCTCCACTGGCACCTCTGGGTGAGGGCAGACAGCATGATCTTCATGCCAGGGTGTCGTGCGTGGAGTTGCTGAAGGTCCTCCTTCATCATATTGACCAGCACGACACCACTGACATGTCCCATGCTGTTGCCCCCACAATGAATGATGAGGCCATCCGGGGGAGACCTCCCTCGGAGTGAGTTTTCAAAGAAGGGAAGGAGGCCTTTCCAGCGAAGTCCACCCCAGCCGAACCAACTCATGTGGATGTTCTTCAGGCCCAGGTTCCTTCCCTCTGTCTCTGCAGCTCTCTGGGCACCTCGACGGACACAGCTGTCACCAATAATCCACACGGTGTCTAAGGGAGAAATACAAAAATGTTCAATTAATGCCTCAGACAAGACAAAATGTACAGTTAACTACATGTGACAGCTCAGGCTGTTTTTTTGTTATGAGCCACATCTGCAGGAATAATATTGAACAAGGTAGCTGCAGTTCATAATAATAGATGCCAGTCTTAAAATACAATTTATTCTAATACTTACAGGTTTTGGCGGGTGAAGCTGACACTCCATCACTGTCCACAGACTCCATGACTTCAGAGGATTCTATAGAAAATAAATATCTTTTTTAGTTGTCATGTTCACCGTCATCACTGTTGACATCAGTAAATATAAGACACAGACATTCCTCTTTTTGTCAGAACAGTAACATGAACTGTATGCTTTGTAATATTGATTTCTTCTGGATGTCTCACATGTTTATTTACAGTTTATGTCTAACAGTAGGTTCATCAACAACAACGAAAAGAAAAGAAAAAAGCGCCAAATATCTTTCTTTTATGGTTTTCAAACAGACTTCTAAACTTTAAACATGTTATTACACCCAAGTAATGATTTGTAACACGATGTGAGAATTTTAATGTAAAGATTAGCCTCAAACTGTTTCTTACATTTTATGTTACAACTTTGCTAATGTTTTGTTCTACTAACCCAGACAAAGTCACTGCTCTGACTAATAACCACCGGTAATAATTTTTTTTAATGTGTAGTTTTAAGACTTTAATTATATTTTTGGGTTGAAGATAATTCGTTTTAACTGTGTCATAGAAAAGTTTAAGGTTAACTTACTGTTTATAGTTATGGACGAGTGGGAGCAGGACAGCAGTAGCAGATAGAGCAGTTGTTAGCTATGCTGTGAAGTAGCCTGCTAGGCTGCTAGCGTCAAGCTCGTCGGTCGCGTCGGTCGGTCGGCGAACTTTGGTCCCCCACAGTCCCGCCTTACTGCTGTTACTAGGTTGATCCAAAGTTAGGTTGAGACAGCAAATCCAATATGGATGCGGCCGTCGATTGGACTCATTTTCTGCCTATGTCACAGACGCGTCAGGGTTTGTCAGTAATATTTACAGTCTATGCACCAAACGCATACCTGGAGTCTGTGTAAATAGTAACGGCTTGGTTACACCGCTATGCAAACCCACAGCTAAAAGCTTTCATTGAGCCTGACTCTAAGGCTTGTTAGCCCATAACTTCTGCCTTACCTGAATGTGTTCAACAGTCCTGTCTGTTTAAGGGGTGCGTGTAGGTGACTCACCGTTCGTGCCGCGACCAGCACACTCGGACAGCCTGATCCACAGAGTCATTTGGGAGCGATCTCCTCCGCCAGCCCGCGCTCTTTCATACCAGTTTCGATTATGTGCAAAAAAAACTGAAGTGTCGACACCAAAAAAAACTTTAATTCAGATTCAGTCTCTCAGGTGTCTTGCGTCCTGGCGTCTCCCTCGTTGCGTCCCTTCCAATCAAAACCAATGCACCTGCTCTTCTGCAGATGCTGCTCATGAAGATTACAGAGACAGAGCCACCACACCCCCTCAGGTGTGACATCAGTACTGACCCTGCTTCTCCTCCTACCAACCACACCTACCACTAAAGACACTGAAGTGTATCCTCCTGAAGCATTATCATAGCAGATTTGTGAGCGGCCAATTTGCAGGCTTCGGTCAAAGCAAACAGCTCTGCTGCCTGGGCTGAGAAGCGGTAAGGAAGAGGGCCAGAGGCGAGTACAGAGGAGTCAGAGACAAAAGAGAAACCCAATAAGTCTAGACGTATGGTCTGGACAGGGAATAAAGATGCTGTTTTGTAGTAAGGAGTTGGACACAGTTGTTATGCCATCTATGGATTCTTGCTATAAGGGTTATTGTTGTATCATCGTATTTGTGATGCCCACAAAGAGGAGGGAATATCCTCCACCTCTGGTGGAAGGAGATTTCATCAGACAAAAAGGCTGTGGTGTGAGGTGTATCAGAAGTGCACAGACCTTAAAGCATCGGTGGTTAACACAAGAGGTGTGTGTGTGTGTTAGTACAGCAAGCGGTTCTTTTTTGCATGAGCATGTGTGTGTGTGAGCTTCACTTCCATTTGCTGTCTTTTCTTTCGGCATCGGAGGATGTTCCCATCTCTCTTCATTGCTCCCAGAAAAACAGTAAAACTACATGGACCATCCTGGAGAAATAGTGAAAAAATTAGTGATTCTTTGTCTACTTAGTTTAGAGCAGTTTTTGGTTTTATTGTGTGAAGTTTCTGACGCAAAACTATTGAATTTACATTAACAATCATTCTCTTAAAAGCAGCATGCATACAACCATTTACAGAATGTTCTCTTCATCTTTTCTTAATGAATATGCTTATATGTAAAATATCTTTCATTTATATTTGATGTTGTCATCATGCATTCAATCAACACAAATACTTCTCGTTTGTATGTTTCTAGAACAATGTTGCCTGAGCTTTTTTATCAATATTCTCAGACTTTTACATTTCCTCTTTGTTGGTGAAGTTTCTGATTCCTGACATTATTATTTTGAAGACATTTAAAGATGAGTACTGCTGCATGGTGTGTTGTCAACATGTATACATAACTGACTTCTGTAAAATCATTGAAGAGATAAATTAAAGATACTAATCAGCACGTTGATGTCTTCTAATGTTTTCTAGATAAGAATCACAGCAGAGTGTAAAATAACTGATAAAGTAACCAGACAAATTATCATGTCATCTAGTACTAGTTTTACTGAAGTAACTTTTTTAGAAAATGAATCATGACATTTTTCTTCATCTCAAGCCTTTGGTTTTCTATATTCTACAAATCACCCCTCAGCTTTGAGATCATTACCATACATTATGAGTCCTTTTCCTACACCTTCCATTAGTTAGCTCAACAACACTGTCTTATATCAGTTCTCGTAACTTCAGAGGAGTTTCCATTAATTGTCCTCCCAGGTTAGGTTTTTTTTAAGGAAATTATATTATTCTTCATCAAAAATAAGAATGTAATTAATTTGTTCATTCAGTAAAAAAAGAAGAAATCAGCGGGTTTTATTTTTAGTCTTTTGCTTATAATTAAATGTACATATTTTCTTCACACGTCCAGTTCCTCAGAGTAGGGAGACCACAGTCTATGGCGCCATCTAGTGTCAGATTATAAAAAAAAGGCAAGGAAAAAGATGAGACAAATTCAATACCTTGTTTCTGATCTCATCATCAGTTGTCTAACTGTTGACATGTTTTGAGTACAGAAGGCCTCTAATGAGCTAAACTAGATTGAAGATTTTTTTTTACAATTTTATTTATGCTCATCCTCTCTAGTGGTTTTTAATTTCGACATTTAAGGCGGTGAGGATTAACACCTTTCCTTGCACTTTATACCTCATCTTTTCCCCAGAATGTATCCCCTTAAAACCACACCAGATCACTCCCATTTCAAATGTGTTTCTGCAGGCTCAAATAGAAGCATCAAAGCAGTTTTTCATGAATGCAGCCATCCCCTCATAAAGAAGCAATCTGCCACGAATTTCTGCTCAATCCAGAAACAATGAAGCTTGACATTAAAAGGAGCATGAAACTGGTAGCAATATTTACAAGTTCTATCAAGTGTTGAAAGATAGTTTTTCAAGCATTGCTGGACGGCTGAAAAGAGCACATGTGAAAAGATTCTAAACTTGTGTCATCAGAAAGTTCTTCACATCTCTGACATTATTTTTTTAAAGACATGTCACAAGATGGACCATTGTGGTTGTAACAAAGCTGATAATACTGTCATGAAAGTTTTGGATAACAGTGGATATGAGAAAATGTGAAATGTGTGAAATTGATGGTTGAGTTGTGCTTCACAATTCCAGCAGATGACAGGCTTACACAAATGATGGAGTGTCCCTTCTCAAACTTTCTTTAACACATTGGAATAGATCGATCAATCAATCTTTATTTATATATCGCCAATTCATAACAAATGTCATCTCCAGACACTTTAAAAGAGCAGGTAAAATACCTTACTCTTTATTATATTATCTACAAAGAACCAACATTAATCCATCATGAGCAAAGCATAAAACAACATTCAGTAAAGTTAGTGACAAGAGGAAACGTCCTTTAAGAGACAGAAACGTCGAGCAGAACCAGACTCATGTTGATCAGCTGTCTGCCAGAACTGCGTTGTGCTTGGAAAGTGGGATTAGAGCAGGGATGTCAAAGTTCTATTGGGTCGGGGGCCGGATTTGTTCAAATGAGACCTCAAGTGGGCCGGACTAATTTTGCAGACATCACTATAACTCAACACATGGCTATATAGGCTAATGTATGATTAGAAAAAAAGACAAAAAAGGTACTTGTATAGAAAGCTGCATGTTAACACATAAAATGTAAAAGTACAGTAAGCAGAGGGGTTAACTCTGTCATTGCAAACTGCATGTTGGCACATGGAAATATTTAAATATACAACATTACAGAAGAAAACATCAATAATTATGTTTTGTTTGAGATTGTTATATTATGTTTTAATATTGCTGTTCAAGGTTATACAAACTTTGACACAGGTTATTCTACCTGCCCTGGGATCAGTGCATTACTAGAGAGAGAGAGAGAGAGAGAGAGAGATACTATAGATCTGTGTGTGTCAGGCCACAGCACAGTTTGCACTCGTTAAGGTTCATTACAGATAAAACCTGCTCACATGAATAAGTTGTCACAAACACACAGAGTGTCTTTGATGCAAGACCGAAGTCATCTTAAGGTATTTTAGTAGTCGGCATTATAAAATGTTAACATCTTTCCAAACCAACAGACTTAAATTGATCCTTCAGCTTTGCGCACTGCAGTCTGATCTGCTCCGTGTGGAGTGCACGTTTTTCAACTAAGTAAACTCAGTTAAACGACTTTTGATATGAGTCTGGCAGTCCGTTCTTCTACGTGTCCGTAATATCGTAATCTCACTCTGTCACTGACTTTTTATGCGCCATGAATCTGTGCCATCTCCGCGCGCAATTCGAGAAAGTATTTTAGCGCTGCTCCTCGGTTAAACCAGCGGACCTCTGTATGATCGGGCAGCCTGTGCGTGATATCGTTTTAGGATAAGAATGAAATGTTCAGTAATAGTTATAGTTTTACAGTCTGATGAAAGCTGGTGATAAAGGTGCAACAGCAGGCTACTGCATTTAGAAGTGATGTCGTGCTGAAACGTTTAGGTGATCAACACAACACGTTCACCTCTGGGTGACCTAAAAATGAACCATCTGTAATTAAAATCAGTTAATATTCATTTTAATTTACTGTTTTTACAATAACCAGAGGTAAAACTAGTCGGGAGATGCATCAGGCTCAACGCCGGTGTCCACAACCTCCACTTAGTCTGGATGTGTAGAGACGGTCTGGGCCATTACGCAGGACAGAGAGGATTGTTTTTTATTTGCACGAGCTGCTCTTTGTGGCTCACTCCATAGGAAGCTTTGTTATTATTAAAACTATTGTTTTACATTCAATCAAGACAGAAGAAACTGGTAAGAAGTGTGCACAGAACCGAAGACCGTCATGATGCGTGCGAAGTGCAGCGGTGTGCCTGTCGTTAAGTCCCGTGGCTTTGATACAATTCTGGCAACTTGTGAGCAAATAAAACTGAAGAAATATCGCTCCTTTGATCTCTTTTGAAAACCTGCATTCTGTGTCACCTCTCTCAGGTGTTCAGCCTGTTTGCTGATTAGCGTAATGCAGGAGCAGCTCGTGAGCTCGGCCTCTTTTTTATGATAGTCCCTGCTGAGAAGATAGTTCAAAGTGCCCGTTTAATTAATATTCGTATCATGATATCAACCTTTACGTTGCTCATTTTACATAGGTTTTAATACAATTCGGGGAAAATACGTATTCCAAATATTTAATTTATTAAAAATCTCAAAATATTCTTCAGTACATTTCCTCCTTCTTCCCAAAACGT